ATCTATTAAGATTATTCAAGATTATTCTTGTCCATTCCTAAGCTTCAGAAAATAAAATGTGCAAGATGACCCTAATATTTGCAGGGCTGTAGTAGCAAATCTGATGCAACATTTCTCTATCACTTTCTTCATCCAAGAGAGAACCATATTTTTGTTTGTTTTTGAAGATCTCATTTAAAAAAAAACCAACACCAAAACAAACCTAAACTTTATTAGTGGGTGTGTGGTAGGTCAACTTTTTTGTTTACAGTGATATTTTAGTTGCTTATATTTATTTTCTTCTTTTATTTTATTTATATTTATTTATTTTATAAATGAATGCAACATAATAATGGTGGTATAATATCTTGCATTTTGAGTACTAAGAAGTTTATTATATATGACTTTCACAATATATGTCACTTCAAACATGAGTTAATAATTAAATACAGCCTGTCAGTCAAGTAGTTTTATTTCATGTATTTACTTTTTAAAATATTATTTTGAATGGTTATTACTGATAAATAGTAAAAATTAAATCTCTTGTCTGTCTTACATTCATCTTGCTTTCCTCTCCAAAGTCAATCCTTACTGGTTTTTTCTTGTGCATTCTTCTAGAGGTATTCTATGCATTTACAAATAAATATGAATAAATAAATGGTAATTAATGCTCACTAAGTGTGGTTAATTATATTAACTGATTTCCTGACAATAAGATCTATCTATATTCTCAAAATATCTATATTCCTAATTATGGAAAGGTGTTGGAATATATTGGTAAAATTGAGTTGCTTATATTCCATTTTGGATTTTTCTATGTTTATTCATACAATAAATTGATTTGTAGTTTCCTGTTTTTGTCATCTGTTATATTTTAGTATAAAGTTTATGCTAGTTTTGCAAAATAACAGAGAAACAGAAAAAAACTGTTTTATCTTGCTCTGTTCAGCAAGAGCTTAAATAGAATGGTAATTAGCTTTTCTTTGAAGTTAAAAAAAAGTCTCCTAGAAAAAAATTCTTTGGGTTGATGCCTTCTTAGAGTATGAAATCTTTGACAATTTTTGTGTTTTATTCTTTTTTTTTTTTTTTGAGTCAGAGTCGCACTCTGTCGCCCAGGCTGGAGTGCAGTGGCATGTTCATGGCCATTGTAGCCTTAACCTGCTGGGTTCAGGCGATCCTTCCTCTTTAGCCTTCTAAGTAGCTGGAACTACAGGCATGCACAATCACATCCAGCTAATTTTTTTGATTTATTGTAGAGATGAGGCCTCGCCATGTTGCTCAGGCTGGTCTTGAACCCCTGCATGGGCTCAGGCAATCCTCTCACCTCCGCCTCCCAAAGTGCTGGTTTTATTCTTAAGTATTAGATTTTATCAGGTGTTCTATTTCTTTTTGAGTTAATTTTAGTAACTTATATTTTACTACAAATTGTTATGTTCTTTGAAATGAAGGTTAAGGAGGTAAGTAATGACCCCTCTACTAGTAAGTGGGGAAACTGCGATTTAGTTCCTATGTCTCGGATTCCAGAAATTGAGCTCTTAATTTTACTGTGCAGCTTTTGTTCCTCGATGTCTTCTTTATGCCTTTTTCTCTTTTTGGTTACTTTGTGAAGTTTTAAATTTTTAGTTTAATCTTAATTTTCACTTTTCTTATTTATTAATAAATCAATTTATGGTTATATATTTACCTCCAGCTCCTGATTTATCAGCATAAAGTATGTTTTGCTATATGGAATTCTTAATGTCATTTTTACTAAATAGTGTAAAACTGCATTATCTATTTCTTTTTTGACTTGAGTTATTTAGAAAAATTTTCTTTCCCCAGTGAGTAGGGTTTTTGAAATTGTTATTTATGTATTTGTAAATAATGTCAGTTTTATCATAGTGTGATAAAATGTGATATTTACTATTTCTATTTCTGATATTTACTGAGATTTTATTTGCTATCTAATATAGAATTTGCTTTTATAAATATTCTGTAGGTTCCTAAAAGATGGTTTATTTTTTCTGGATGAGCACTATTGTACCTATTGAATTAACTTTTTTTTTTTTTTTTGATTTGGAGTCTCACTCTGTCGCCCAGACTGGAGTGCAGTGGCTGCTCCCGGCCACCGCA